CGCTTCCCGTAGCTATTTTTAAGAAAGATCCCCAGCATTCCCGCTTTTGTCTAACGCTCGTGTTCGCCTGCCTTCGCTTGTGGCTGAAACGCGACTCGACGAAAAAATTACCTCTCTTATTACTTACCGACTCTGGCAGGAAGAAGTTAGGAATCGGTGATGAGGATGGTGATGTACTCGTAGTCCGATCGCACGCTTGTTGGACAATAAAAAAAAAAAAAAAAGAGAAAAGAAAAATTTTGTCTGTCCGAACGCTCGCTCGACTGAGTGCGTTGCGTTTCAGTGTCATTTTGAGTTTTTCTTTTCATCAGTTGGTGTGTGCGTGTATGTGTTGTTTGTCATTGTTTTCCGGTGGTTGTATATCTCGTGTAACTCGCGTCGGATTGTAGGTATTTTATTTATTTATTTATTTATTTTCTCGTTGGGAAGATAAGAAGCTATGGCTACCATACCCAGCGCTGTATTTCCGAGATTGTTGGATCGACAAAATTTAGGATTGTTCGGATTTCCTTTGATACCTCAGGTGAGTTATCCTCATCAGAATGATGTAATTTAAAAATACTTTATTACTTTTTTTTTTTTCAAACTTGTGACAACTACACATTACTAGATTTTCTTACAAATAATGAGATTCTCCGACGATTCTGTCGGATTTTTTTTTATTTATTATTATTTTATTTGTTTATTTTACTTGGCAAATTTGAGTCTAATGATGGAGAAACAGCCAGCACGCTGCCAAACATTCACAAGTATCATTTTATAGAACCTGATTATCTTAAAACAAGTTTTAGAATGAAGATTAAAATCATCTGTCATCGCATTCACTATACTTTTATTATCTGTAAATTTTCCCTTCAACAATGCAAGGATCTACAAACTAAGGCCTCGGCCTAATAGCAATTGACTAGCGTTCTGGCCTTTGCCATTACGCTACCACAGGTTTGAGGTTCGAATTCTGGCGGTGACATGGATGTTTGTTAGTGAATCGGAATTCACGTTAAACTGTAGGTCCCGGTTTAATTAGCCTAAAGGTTCAAAAAATGATCTTAGAGCAGCAAACCTAAGGCGCGTTGGCCAAAACTGGGCTTTGAACACCAGGGGGATTTGGCCCTTGATAATGAACCTTCTTTATGCGATGTATACGACCCGACATGCTCATTACATTAAAATAATAATAATACAACATGATTATAAGATGTTTTTATTTAATAAAAACTAGTAAAAGAAAATTCAGGATAGGTAATGAAATAAAAATGTCATGCAAATTAACTTTAAATTGCAAAATATTTTAATTTGAAAATATACCCGTTTTATTTGCATTTTTCTATCATAACATAATGCAGTTACTTGCTAATTTTAAAGGAAAAGTTTGACTTAAAATAATAAAATATACTTTTTTGTATTCTTATTATATACTTGGGTAATTTATTTTTTCAATACCAATTAATAGAAGTGTATACTGACATAAAGCATTTTCTTATTTTTAAGATTATTTCGCTTATTTTTAGATTATTCGCTCGTATTTGATCAAAAATGTACACATTTTAAAAATTTTCGTAGGGGAAAAAAAAAAAAAAAATATTGCAATATGACGTGCCCATCTGATTTTATGAAAACAAAAAGTTTGGAAACTTCTGTTCTAATGTAAAATATTGCTATTTCATTGTTGTGTTGGGTAGCATTAATTAATTAATGTTTTGACAAGTTTTAAAAATAAATTTTAGACTAGACTAATTTTTTTTAAAACTTAAATGAGTTCAAGGAAAAATTACATACTCATACAATATTCAAGTTCTATGGAAAATAGAACTCAGTTTAAAAAAAAAAAAAAAAAAAACATGTTTAATATCTCGAATATTAAATAATCATTATTTTAAACAGAAAACCAACCGTGGATGGGGATATTTTAATTGAACAGGTATTTTAAAAAGTAAAAGTTAATTAGAATTAGAATTATTTTGAGAAATAGTAAAATTCGTATAAGCTAATTGGTAAGACTTCTATGTACTCGTATGGTTGACGCACTAAAAATATGCAACATCACGAGAATTACTCATTTGTTCTCAGTTGAGCAGAAATTTAATAAACCTTATTTACAATTCGCCAAGTAGAAAAAAATCTTCATCTTACCACCAGACTTTCTGAAGCAATTTAAATAATTGATTTTGCTTTGAAATTGCTTTTCTCGGTGATGATCAGTTAAGTCTCATGGCCATACTATTTTGGCAAGTTAGTGGTGCTTTTACTTTTTGCTTCCAACTGTCTAGCAAATAAAATCTGTGTACAGATTTAAGATTTTTTTATCAGTGAATCTTTTTTTAGTCATAATCTTGATTTCATGTCTTTTTATTGTACGGAAAGAAAAAAATCTATATATTTTAGTAGCAAAGCTGTCTTAATTTAAATTAACGCGATATTTATGCACAAAGCTATATTTTATTAATTAACTTCTTGAGAATGTAAACTTCCAATCAATAAGTAAGTTAATAAAGAGTTAATCCTTTTTTCAAATTCGGATGGCCAATTGACTAGCTCTCTGGCTTTTGGTACCATTCAGGTTGGAATCCTGGCGATGGCATGGATGTTTGTTAGTGGTTCGGAATCCACTTTAAACTGTAGGTCCCGGTCTAATAACCTTAAAGTGCAAAAAATGACAGCACAGCGACAAACCAAATCTTTCACAAATTCAAAGAAACACAAGTTATATGATTCGGTTATCCATTTTGATCAGTAACTTTTGGCCCAATAAATATTAAGTTGTGCTTACTGTATTAGGTTCCTTATTTCATTCCATTTTCAATGATGTATATAATACATACAGATAAATTAATTAGTGTTAGTACATTAAGGCTTTACTCATTATTACAACAATCGTATCACAATTTTTGTATGAAAAAAAAAAAAAAAATGAAAGACTTCGACATTTCATGTTTTAGATTCCCTACCTGACATTAATTTTAGTGTTGTTGTATAATCTTAAGACATTCCTTTGATATCTATATTGTTTAATATTTTAAAAATTACAATCGCTTACTATTCCTCGAATTTCGTTTTCAGCGAACATGGAGCCAACATCTTGTGCAAGTACAATAACAAAGGAAGGGTAAATTTTTCATCAGACTGATGAAATTTCTTAAATCTTAATTTTTCTTTAATTTAATTTCGTCTTTCTTAATTTTCTGGGAAAAGAAATAATTACCAGGTTTAGGGCATCATTTACTAAAATTATCATACATCTAGCTGTAGTATTACATTAATTATTAACCATTATTACTACTTATTAATCATTTGATTAAACGAAAACCTTTGGACGGAAAAAAAGGTTATTAAAAAGGCTTTATTAAAACATATATTTTTAAACAAATTATATAAGCTTGAATGTATGTTAATAGAATATTCATATATCTATACATGACGTAAAGTTCTTATAAAATTTTCTACTGTTAATGATACATTAATTATAAAAGTGCGAGGGGAAAAAAATGGAACAATTTTGAATCATTCTAAATGGAAACTTTAACATTATTACTTTACTGAAAATTGAATTTTACATTGTGAAATTTATACATTTTTGGTATTTAATAATTGTTTAAAATATATTTTGATGTAAACAAAAATCAAAACTAAGATATGGAGAAAGTATAAATTATAACTTTTTATTTTGGCTGCAAAAATTAAATTGTTTTCGAAATCATAAAACTAGAAATGCCTCTATATTGATTGTTATCATACATATTCTTACTTTTATTTAGGCATAATAATTAAGCAGCTTACTAAAATGCATCAGCGACATTACTTTCAGAAAATTTAAGAATGAAATATTAAAAAATACGTAAAAATTTAAATCTTAATGAAATACACGAATACGGAAGCATTTAAAGCAACAATTTTGCATTTATAAAAATAATTGCAATTATATAAAAAGGTGTGTAAAATTAGACACTTGCAAAATAAATTTTTACTATATATATATATATATTATTATTATTATTATTATTATTATTATTATTATTATTAGTTTTAACGTTTAAAACGAAATTATAGATGAACCCATTTAATACAATGTCGATAAAAAATTCATTTATGATGCATATATTTTATATCTTTATTTATTAGTTATGTTATTTAAAAGAAACTGATTTTACAACCATATTAAATACAAAATTTAATTATTAGAATATAAATAATTAATAATTGACATTATAATTGTTAAATTTCATTATACAATTTCATATTTAAACTGTAAATGATTTTTAAATGAATTAAAAACTGCAGTTACTTACCATAAGCATCGTTATTCCTTCTTTTTAAGTCTACAGAATCAACTGAACGATATTTCAAACATAGTCTCTTTTAAATAATTCAATAATTAGATACATCCCGGATGGAATATCACTGCTTTTTTCTGAATGTTACGACACAAGTATCGTGTTATGCAATGTTTCAAGCAATTTCGGAATGTTATTCTCAGAACTTCAAAAAACCAACCGAACCAAGAATTGTTTTGTTTTTTTTTAAATTAAATATGAATAGGGATTTGAATTTATCATACAGATTTGCATGATAAAACTCAAATCCCTATTCATATTTAATAATAATAAAAGAAAAACAATTCTCTGTTCTGTGGGGTTTTTCTTAATATCTACTTAAACACTGTATTTTCTAGACTGCGAATACTTTACTTATCGTTTGGTTTTCTTTTTCATGTTAATTACTTTTATTTATTTAAGAGTTGATTTTTATTTTATTTACATTAATTTTGTGTTTTTCATATGAAGAAAATTCGATTAAATTTTTTGACAGATATAGTTGTCCTAATTCCATAAATATAGAAGAAGTAACCAATTACAGTGAGATTATTTAAAATTTTGAATTTTTCTGAATTCTGATTTTGCAGTTTGCATTTTTTTCTCAATTTGACTTAGTAAAATAAAGTATATTGCATTATTTACTGAAGTCTGGCAACACGTCATATCTGCTAGTTATAAGTAATTAGAGCCAACGGCCGTACCATGCTGAATATACCGGTTCTCGTTAGATCACCGAAGTTAAGCATCATTGGGCGCGGTCAGTACTTGGGTGGGTGACAAATGACGACGGGGTGGGTGGGTGACGTTGGCAAATTTGGGACCTGAATGGCGAGTGTCTGGCGCTCGGTGCCACAGGTTTCGGGTTCGAATCCCGGCGGTGCCATGGATGTTTGTAGTGGTTCGGAATCCACTTTAAGCCGTAGGTCCCGGTCTTCTATGACTGTAAGAGCGTCACGGAGCAAAAATCAGGCTTCTACCTACGGGTGCTCCATCACAACAGAAGCTGCTTCCTTCCCCTTCAATCATGAGTCCATATGGGCTCGTGGGCTTGGCCAGCCAAGTGGGATAAGAAACAACAACAACAAACATAATTAATTAGAAAAGTATATTTTTATCAATTTGTTGCTTTTCTTATTTGAGAAGGACCAGAATATATTTTGTATTCTCTCTAATTTGAAAGACATTAACACTAAAAATGCATTTACAGAATAGAACATAACAACTATTAATTTAAAAAAATTTAAGGTGCAGATTTTTTTTTTTTTTTTTTTTTTTTTTCACATTTAAAAGATATGTATATAAACCGATAAAATCATTTGAAATTATGACTAAATTAACTTATTTATTATTTAATGTGAAATAGATATTAATTATTGTAAATGAATTAAATAATAGTTATTTTTAAAAATACTTTTTACTATATTATTTTGTACTAATATTATTTTACTATTTTTGCATTAATAAAATCTTTTAAAAAAATTTTTATATTTATTTTAATCAGGATTTTGTGCTTATTAGATGCGCTTGTGTAGCTTTTCATTTGATACTAACTATTTTGAACCTGAAATTTTAGTCATCAGCCTTAACATCCAAAAACCTTTTTAGTTCGATGAATTAGTGGTTCTAAAAACTTCTTTTGGTTCGCGATCCCCTTTCGAATATAAAAATTGCCATCTGCCAAAATATGAAAAACATTGTATGAAATTCGAATTTTATTTTATAAATGTAATAAATCATCTTTGAAAAATATGTGTAAATATTCAAAAGAACTAAAAATTGAATAAAAGTAGTACTTACAACTATGAGAAAAAAAAAATATGTTACTAACAAAAAGTTAAATAAGTTAACTTTCTTTTTATTTTCATGTTTAAAATTTAAAAAGTTCAAATTTTTTTTTCGCAATTTTCCCGAACTTTGGAACTCCTCACAATTTTTTTTTTGTGTTAAAAGTTTTGTAATAAAATAAATACCTATATTAATATTTGTTTATAGCAGATATATTTAAAATGCAAACTTCAAAAAATTATGTTCAGTCATACTAATTGAATATGGCATTTAATATAAAAGATTACTTCACTTTTTAAAACCTTAGTAACTTAAAAGTCGCGATTAAGTTTTCTTATGATGAAGACTATTAACTTATTCGATTTCTGGATTTATGTAATAAAATTACAAAATGTTACATTTTGATATCCAAAAACTTTGACAATTTGTTAAATAAATATTATAATTTTAAAAATAAAATATTTAACAAACTCAACTTGAAAAAAAGGGTTGTCAATAAGTAAAACTTGTCAATAGAATATATAGTAATTTAAGCAAAAATTAATATTTAAATTATCATCATCGAAATTCTAGAGTTATGTATTATTTTTTATCCTCCGTCTGTTAACGCCAGTTTTAAACCGTCTGCATTTGTAGTTGACACCTGCGTTGATTTTGCTTATCAGCAATTCTTCTGTTATTGTTTTGACAACTGATCTGTCGTTGATTGGAGGACGAATGTCTTCTTTGTTGAGAGGATCTTCACGTTTTTTAAACTTCCCTGGCAATTAAATCGAATTTCAGTTCTGATAAGATGATTTATTCCTTAATTCTTGTCGAGTTAGAAATTTATTTATGTAGAATACTTCAAAGCTATGTATGTATGAATGTAGTTCTCATTAAATTTCTTCTTTTAAATGAAAGTTCTGTTAAATTTGCAGTTTAAATCATTGCTTCTAATTTCTTTGTCCAAGTATGCTAATTGTCGTCTGCGATTTATTATCGATTATGGACAGTCATGGTTGTCGTAACTTGATCGCGGAAATGCGACAAGAGTTAGAAAATGAATGGATAAATTTAAACAATGAAATCTGGGTAAGGGCATATTTTTGAATTTTCATGGAATATATATATTATTTCTTATTACAGTTCATTTCTAAATTATTTCAGCTTGTTAATTATTAAAAAAAAAAGAAAAGAAAAATCGTTATTCCTCCCCTCTAAAATAAGATTTATTTATTTATTATTCATTATTATTATTTTTTTTAATAGAAGCTTTGCTACTATTTCTTTTTATATCCTAACTAAAAATTTGCTAAGCTTGATTAAAGATTTATAGGATTTTTTTTTCCTTTTTTTCAAATGATTTTCGAAATATCCATTAAAATAAAATATGATTTTTTTTAAAGTACATCATTAAGATTTGGACTGAGTATATGAATATATTTAATAATTCGTGGTATTAAATATTAATATTAATAAAAATGATATTATGTAATGTAGCTCTCTTTGAGCATATGTTCCTATTTTTTTCTACTTATTTCTATCCAAACCTTAAAATAAATTGTTTCTTCGGTGAACGGAAATTGCTTTAGAACATTGCTTATTTCATACGTAATCTTGAATTTGTTTCATTTAAAAATCCCTTTTAGAATGCGCAACAATCCAGAAAAAGAAAATTAAATTTTCAAAGCTTAAAAATTATTTTTAAACTACAGTACAAAAATTGTACGTTTTCAGTCATTTTATTTTTAATTTTACTCAGAATTAATGACTTCATCCTTTCAAATGAATTGTTAAAATAAAATTCAAAATTTGTTCTAGGAATCAGATTATTTAAGTAGAGTTAAAAAAAAAAAAAAAAAAAAAAAAAATATTATCGCATGCTATATTTTAATTGAATATAATTGAGAAGAAAATTTTAATATTTCATACAGTTTTTAGTAATAACAATTATCATATTGCAATTTTCAGATCTATATTAGTTATAAAATTATTGTGTAATTTTTTATTATATTAAGAAGAGAGAGTAATATATCCGTAATTATACATTACTCAAATTATTCACAAAACTCTTATCGCGAATATTTATGTATGTATATATGTTTATTTTCTTTTCAATAATTTTGATTTTACCCATAAAATTATGGATATTGTTTTGGGGATCGGAATTTTTCTTTCCTTGGTCACTTTTTGCATGTCCTTCATCAGGTTTTAGTTTCCGTGGCCACTTTCAACGTTTCTTATTTATTTATTTTTTAAATTTATATCATGAGCTATTCTTTTATTGCTATTGGTTTATTTAAATTTTTTACATAATCTATTTTCTTTTTTTTTTCTTTCAGTTTTGAACGGTATTAGGTGAACATTATTAATTGCTTAAATATGAATTATTGATGCTTGTTTTTTCTTTGTTTAAGATTGCTGTTAAGCATTTTGTTCTTACATTAAATTCAAATTTTATGGGCCATCTGTATATCGCCTTAAACTTTTTTTTCAACTGGATTTTTTTTTTTTCCCCCTTCTAATAAAATGCATGAAATAAAACATTTTCATACATTTATTTTAATATTTTATCTCATTCGCTATACTTGAGTGTTTATAGTAATTTTATTTAATTTATTAAAATAACCTCATAGGGTTAAATAACTTGTGATAGCCTATTAAAAATCATTAAATCCAAAAATTATGAGATTCATTTATTCGTATAAAGAATTTCAGCATTTCTTGCACTGAACTTCAACAAAACTGCTTACACGCTGATTTATTATTTACCTCTGTACCATGTACATAAACCATGCTATTTTAAAATCCTTCTAGTGTATTTTCGTTTGTTTTTTTTACCATCCCAAAGAATTAGTCGATCGGAGGCAGAACACTAAAAGCGATCTTTTTTTAAACTAGATTAGACAACGAGAGTTGCCTTATTTAGCAAGTCGGTATTAAGTTTCACTGCGTTCCGTTAAGGCGTGGAATTTTTTGCATTTGCAATCTATCGGATACGAACTTCAAAACTATTTTATTTAAAAAAAAAAAAAATTCTGTCTTTATACAATTCTCTCAAATACAAGAATGATAGAAAGGAATAATTTTTGCAGATTTAAAATAAGTTCGAAACACATTAAAAATTATTGCTTCTACAATTGAATGATTTATTTTATGATTTGGTACTTAAGAAAAACATTGCAATTTAAAATTATTTCATTTAATAGAAATAAAATATTAAGTGTTGTGTCCTAAAATGTTTGATTCAAAAATTAACATTTAAAAAAATAGCTTTCAATGTAATTATTTTTATTTGAATATATTATTTGTTTCAAAGTACTGACTATGCCTGTGTGTTTCATCTTTTTATTGTTCCAATTAGCATAATTGGCACAGTTTTTAAAGACAATTGGAGTTCAGCCAAAAAATAATAATATAAAGAATCAAATAAAAATAAAAATTAAGAAATATCAAAAACCACTTATGTGTGCTGACAGTGTGAAACCACCGATTGTATTGATTATGTGTTAAAAAATTTTTCTTTCTATTTTTAAATTTTTTCTTTATATCCAAGTTTTTACATTTTTAACTTTTTTTTTTTTTTTTTTTCTTCTTCTTCTTCTTCTTCTTCTCCAGTTTTTAATTTTGTGCTTAATTTTTCAGCATATGGTAACACCACAACTTGCTGCAGCTTATCCACAATATTCACCTACCACTGAGCAGACTCCACCTCAGGCCAACAGTTCTGATTCTAAAGAAAGCACGCTTTTCCCACCTTCTATTATAACTGCTAATGGAATCGAACAACAAACTGTAAGTTCAGTTTTAAAGTAAATAATTAATAAAGAATTGATACCTATTTAACTAAATTACTTAAAAATACCACATATATTTGCTATTTTAAACCGTTTTCTGTTCACATTTCAAGTAATAACAATTGGGGGGGACTATGTTTGTAGCTCCTTGATTTTTATCCAGATCAGGAATGGAAATATCTTACTCAATCATGGAGAATGTAATTTTTTTTTT